ACCTGAAATCACAGTTAAAGATGTGTCGTCCCTCTCACTACCAAAATCTGAAATGGTCCCCCTGCCATGCTGCCCAGCAAGTGGGGGATTAACGCCACAGCTGTGGTCTTTCCTCAGTTCTGGCAAGGGAATAAGCATGCACATAGCCATGTCATTCAACAGTGTAAGGGAGGTTCTCACTTCCTCTTACTCCCTGCAACGGGGGTGTAGCCTAAGACACAATTTAACCCAAGACTTTGATTTTAAATTCATGGGTAAACTTGGATAGTCTAGCCCACACAGCTAAGCAAACTGTGGGCTAGACTATGACGGACTACGAGCATGCCGAGCATGCACAGGAGAATCCAAGGGAGTAAGAACCCGCCTTTGCACGGTTGTGCACTCTACGTCACAATCTACCACAAAGCTGAGGTAAAGCACTTAAACTGAGGATCTCAAGACACTATAAAGCATGAATTGAGAGCCAGATTTTGATACCTTTACTGGCTTTGATTAGCACCCTACTTCATGAGTAGTCTCATTGATTTCAGTAAGACTACTCTAAGAGTAAAGAGGATACCAAACATGAAAAAGGATACCAAATCTCTTTACACATAGGCAAATCAAGGACCAGAGAAGTTAAGTAACTTTAGACCTGGTTTACACTACACAGTTAGTCGACGTAAGCTGCCTTTTATTGACCTAGCTGTGCATTTAAATTTGTCTCCTGCTGCTGTATGTGCCCTCTTATGGTGACACAGGAACACCACCTCCCCAAACACTGTTGAGTGGTGATTGACGTATTGAGGTAATTGCATTACCTATGTCGGTTCTAACAGTCCCCCAGCAGCTGTCCCACAATGCCTGTCACTGACTGTTCTTGTCACAGTTATGAATTCCACTACCCAGGGTTCAGGGAGACCAGAAGCCAACTCCCCACCTTAATAACTCTGCACATTTTAAATGCTTTTTTTTCTGATTGCCCAGCTTGGCAAGTATACCTAGCAGCTCTCCCTTGTTGTGTGCAACTGCCCACTTCACCTCCACTTCCACCCCAGCAACAGCTTTTCTCCCATTGGCTCACAGATTTTATGCAGGACACTGCAGGCAGCTATAGAAATTGGGATTTTTTTTCTCACTGAGATCCAATCTTGTGAGTAAACAATGCCAGTATCCCTTATATCTACCAAAAAGCACAGTCAGTTGTCATTCTGCAACTATTAAGCCAGTAGTTTGAATCTTTCCCTGGTGCTGTCAAGATGCTCTGTGTATGGCTTCATGAGCTAGCGACCAAGGAGTAGGCTGAGTCCCCCCAGGATCACTACTTGCATTTCAATATTGCCAGTAGTAATCTGCCAGTTGGGAAAGAATGACCCTGCTTGCAGTTTTCTGAACAGTCCTGTGTTCTTAAATATACAAGCATCATGCATCTTCCCTGACCAGTCAACACTGATGTCAATGAAGCATCCTTAGTGATCCACCAATACTTGGATAACTATAGAAAAGTAGTCCTTTCTTTTGATGTACTCTGTGGTAAAGTGGGCTGGTGATAAAATACAGGTATGCATGCCATCTATCACCCCACTGCAGTACAGGAACCTCATTACTGCAAATCCATCCAGTATGTCCTGCACATTGCTGAGAGTCACAGTCCTGCATAGTAGAAAACAATTAATGACCCCATACACATGACAACGGCCCCAACTGTGGATTTTCCAACTCCAAAAGGATTTCCAGTAGCAATTCGGCGTTGTAAGCTTCCACAGTGGAATCGCTTCTCAACTGTCAGTGCATCTCTCAGTCTGGTATCTCTGTGCTGGAGGGCTGCGGCAAGCTTGGCACACAGATCCAGAAATGTGGCCTTTCATATCTGAAAGTTCCACCACCACTGCTTGTTGTCTCAAACCTGCATTATGATGCAGTCCCTACCAGTCAATGCTCATTTTTTGGGACCAGAAGCAGCTTTCCACCATCTGCAGCTGCTCCATAAACACCTCCTACAACCTTGAATTGTTTTTTGCTATGTCTCACAGCAATCTGTCCTCCACAAAATCTTCATATTCCTCACTGCTGCAGTTCTTCTTGCAGCTCTACATGTACTGTAGGATCATACATCCTGTGTTTGCAACACTCATGACAACAGGGAAGAGCTGTGTAGCCTCCATGCTTCTGTCAGACAGTGAAAAGTGCCATAAGGGTTTGTGGGGTTATTTTAAAAGGTGCAAAAATTATGGGATGGAGAAAGTTACACAATGGGAACTTGACCCTTCACTCCCAGTCACCCCTGCACAATTTGTTTCTACCCTACCATGCATTGCCCAAATTTCCCAAAAGAGAGTGTGCTGGACAATGGCAAGTTGCACACTGGGATACCTACCCACGGTGCACCTCACTGTGCATGGACACAAGCACTCCTGGTGAGTAGATGCAGCGCCAGTACAAGGAGCCAAGTATGCGTGCGCACAAGTGATATACTAACTGCGGCAGCTTTATGCCAACATAACTTGCCTCAACCAAAGTTTGTAGAGTAGACATGGCCAAGACAAGTTATTTGCAGAATCTGTGAGAGAACCCAAGATCCTTGACTCCCAGTTCCCTATTCTAATCACTAAATGGTAGGATCAGTATAATAGCAGTGATTGTAATTTACAAGTGTTATCCAAAGAGCACTTTTCATGGTGTAATGATAATTTGTACAGCAATTTCCCTCTCATTAAGTGAGGGATATTTCACCTTACAACATTTAAAAATAATATTTTCTTGCTGCCTATTCTCCTCACAGTAGTTTGCTGTGATACTGGCAGTGAAATACGTCTGTTATCTGTCACACAAAATATATTTGTGAAAAGGAGAAAAGCAATCTCGATGTTTTAAAGATAAAGTAACCAGGATTCTTCCTCAAGCAATGATAAGCTAGAGATCTGCACAGTACAATATATTGTGCTAAGGAAATAATAACATAGGATGTCTCTGAATGGAGTGATACTTGACTCCTCCCTCAGACAGATCACCTATTTCCATCCCTTGCTACTCACACACCCTCCAAATCACAGACCATGATGGCCTTACCTCATGTAAATAGTACCATGTCAGCACTTGGTCATGTAAATTTAATTGCTATTGACTGAGCTTTAGCTGGTTTCCACAAACCATCCAGAAGTCCAATGGCATGAAGATAAATCACCAGGTCACCAGGTCCAGATGGTATTCAACCAAGAGTTCTGAAGGAATTCATAAATGAAATTGCAGAACTACTAACTATGGTATGTAACCGGTCACTTAAATCAGACTCTGTACCAGATAACTAGAAGATAGCTAATGTGATACAGAATTTTTAAAAAGTCTCCAGAGACTATCCATGCAATTTCAGGCTAGTAAGCCTAACCAGTACCAGGCAAATTGGCTGAAACTATAGTAAAGAACAGAATTATCAGTCACATCGATGAATATGATTTGTTGAAGAAGAATCAATACAGCTTTTGTAAACAGAAATAATGCCTCACCAATCTATTAGAATTCTTTGAGGGTGTCAGCAAGTATGTGGACAAGGGTGATCTGGTGGATATAGTGTACTTGGACTTTCAGAAAGCCTTTGACAAGGTCCCTCACCAAAAGCTGTTAAGCAAAGAAAGCTATCATGGGATAAGAGGGAAGATCCTCTAATGGACCAGTAACTAGATTAAAAAACAGGAAACAAAGGGTAGGAAAAAATGGTCACTTTTCAGAATGGAGAGCAGCAAATAGTAAATAGTGAAAGTGAATAAGGAAGTGTTATTCACCCCTTCACATAACATAAGAACCAGGGGTCACCCAATTAAATTGATAGGTAGCTGTTTAAAACAAACTAAAGTCAGTACTTCTTCACATAATGCACAGTCAGCTTGTGGAACTCGCTGTCAGGAGATGTTGTGAAGACCAAAAATATAACTGGGTTCAAAAAAGAATTAGATAAGTTAATGAAGGATAGGTCCATCAATGGCTACTAGCCAGGATGGTCAGGGATGCAATCCCATGCTCTGTGTCTCCCTAAGCCTCTGACTGCCGGATGCTGGGATTGGATCACTCAATAATTGCCCTGTTCTGTTCATTCCCTCTGAAGCATCTGGCACTGGTCACTGTCAGAAGACAGGATACTGAGCTAGATGGACCATTGGTCTAACCCAGTATGGTGGTTCTTATAAGTTCTGCTCCAACCAGCAATTAGTCTATAAGTGTGGAGGAGAATAAACTATGGTCAGCACCAATTCAAGAAAAGTGAAAGCACCCCATTAAAAATCTGAAATCCTATTTCAGATTTCAGTCTTAGAAGTAGCCATCGAGGCAACTTTCAGGCAAAGTTACAGAACATTAAAAAATAGAGGTACTAATGTTAAGATGCGTAAATACCCCATTCCCTGAAGGAGCACCAAGAGATCTGACTAGATTCCCTTCTCATCCATCATAAAAAAACCCCCCCAAAATTGAATAAATAAGTCTAAAGTAAATATAAAAAACACAATGTAAAAACTTGCTTGTGCAACGTTTAGCTGCTACAGGGATGGACAGTATAGAAAAACTTTGTATGAAGTTTACTAAACAATTATTGAAATTGTGTGCCCTCCTTCCTTGTAATAATCTAAATGTTACTTCAGGAGAATACATATTCCACTAATAATAATCCCCTATCCTATTAACCTTCTCACATCACCAATGGTAAATAACCATCTTGTCACCAAACAGAGCCCATGAAAATCCCAAGAAAGGCGCTGAAAAATGTTTTGATATTGAATCCCAGCCTGAGGCTAATGACTATTGAACCTTGTAGAGGAAGCATCAGCCAAGACTGTCCTGAATTGTTTATGCTTTTTTCTAAACCCAGAATGTATCTGTGTCCATTCACCTCTTTCTTATGCTACAGGCTGAGATCCTTCTCTCACGGATGAGAAAGGCAAATCTTCTCACTGACTTCAGTGGGAGAGGGACCAGATCCAGTAGAACGATTATTGGTATGCATGTGGAAATCAACAGTTTAGAACATAGTCTTTATTATTCCAGATCAGTGACTATAAAACAGAATTTTATTTTTATTACTCTTCTTATTACATACAATTGTAAATCAGTTCATTCTTGCATTTCTGCCTTACTAAACCTATCTGCTGTGCTTTAGATTAAAGAAGACCACAATTTACCGTATTTCAACATGTGTCACAAAATTGATTTCAGGATTATGTTTCATGCCATGATTTAGGTATCCAAATATTTTCAAGAATTTTCTTATGCTACATGGTTTTTTCTAGAATCCAGTCTGCATATTCCGCCACTTTTGTAAAAACACCTGGTTGTTCTGGCCGAGCGCATCCTTCACCCCAGCTGGTAATGCCCACCACATACCAGATTTCCTCATGTTTGCATGATAGTGGCCCACCTGAGTCTCCCTGTATCACAGAAGAAAAAGACAGGATGTGCAAAAGATGGTTTTGGTTAGTATTTCTTTTACAAAGAAGGTCTGGATTCACCACAACATTACTCCCATTTCAGACCATTCTAAATCCATCCGTTACCATGGAATTGCACTGCATAACACAGGCCCAGATCCGCAAAGTTATTAGGTGCTTAATTCCAACTCATTTCAATGGGAGGTAGGCACCTAAATGCCTTTGAAGATCTGGGCTACAGGAGTTTGTATCAGGCTCATGTGTTTCAGGAAAGTTAACTTCTACATATTTTTCATTCAGTTAGACAAATTTCTACTTAACACTATCCAGCAGAGTTCCAACCAACATCTACATCTTCTTGTTTAAAGCCTAATGAAAATACACATTTGTATTTCTAATTAGGGTTTCCTCTCCTTTCTATGCTAGTGAGAGGAAAAAAGATGCCAATTTGCAGGCTTTTATCTTGTGATCTTGACCTTAACATCTCTTTGTCCTCAGCCTTTTGACTAAGGTCAAATGTAACATAAGCTTTCTATCTGGTTTGTCCTCTGTTAGGGAGACCATCTCCTCCCCACTGCTACTGTGCCAAAAAAGCAGGTGCATTATTGTCCCTGCGTGTTAGCTGAAAAGGGTTCCATCTTTGTCTCACTTATCTATGCTTTTGGCAGATACAAGTGAGAATTTATGTTATAGCCATGTATATATCCATGCACCCACCTATTTCTTAATAGCTGATGCTATTTTTAAAGTGTTGCTACAAGATTGTAGCCAGTGATTAGAATGCATGATTGTGCACTTATCGTCCCATTACCTTACAAGCATCCTTTCCACCTTCTCTATAACCAGCACATATCATCTTGTCGGTTATTCTGTCCTGCTGGTATCTTGTCTGGCATTCTTCATTTGATATTAGAGGAATAGTAGCCTTCTGAAGAATATCTTGCACTTGATCTATAAGCAACACAACACATGGCTAAGATCACAGAAGTGTCAGTTGTATCAAAACAAGGAAAATAAAACTTTAGGAATCCCAACATAGAATTATTACAAAGAGGGCACACTGAACAAGAGCCAACTCAACATGAACTTGCAAGTGGGCCAGATTCTGCTCAGATAACACAGTGTAAATCCAGAGTAATGCCATGGATTGTTGCAGAGCCGGCACGGGATGGCAAGTTAAGGTACATCATCAGCCCCCATGGGAGAAGGGGTAAAGGTGAAGTATAGGTGTTACATGTCACCATTTAAGGGTGCCTCTGGTTGCCTGTCTAGCCACATACTAGGCTGCCCCTGGTCACTATTAGTGTGGCCTCTAGGTGTGATGCAACAGGCTATGGTGTGTGGCATGGCTATATCTTGAATTTACTATGCTGCTTGCTCTGGTACTGCTTAATGTCCTTTACACACGGCATATTGTCTGTCCCCACTGAGTACGTGTGAGTTCCTCCTTACCTCCCCCATATTGCTGCTAAGGTACTGGATTGAGGCACCTGTTATCACCGGCTACTCACTGTGGATGCTGCACTCAGTGACACCCATGCCGACAATGCAGTTATGCACCATATTAATATCTACCCTGTTTTCCATATTTGCATCAACACACCATGTGGGCAACTGGCTACTGTGCAATTCTTAGAACTCCCTATGTAGCTAACTGTGAATCCACTGTTCCCTGAGGATTTCAGGAGAGGGTCACTTGCCGACTGCAGTCCTGTTTTTGCAAGTAGCTGTGAGCACTGCATATTATTAATAATTATGTATTTGTATTACAGTAGCATCTAGATTCCCCAGCTGCAACAACTGTGGTGCTCAGACCCCAGCTATTTAAACACATGCAGATATGTGCATGCATTGAAACTGACAACAGTGATAGAGGCACTTATACGTTAGATTCCTTCTAATCTAATGACTATTTTATTTATGTAAATTCGTCAAATTTCACATTAAACATTAGCTCTCAAATCAGAGTAGGAAGGTGGGTGAAGGAGCGATCCCTATGTAATATTAGAACATATAAGATTTTAATATGTTATTGTTCAAAAGCAAGGTACAAGGCTATACAAACAAAACAAAGCTCAATCTTTTTGTTTCTGGGCTTGCTCTTTAGACAGTCTGACAGGGAAATATCTATTCTAGCTACATATTGTTGTCTAGATTAACGAACAGCTAGAAACTAAAAAATTATACTGGATTTCTGTACTTAACATACTAAAATCATGCGTTTCAGATCAAGGTTGTATTCTCAAGCATTTTCATTTCTTAAATCACAGAATTAGGGTCTTTGTGAGTAACCTCTTGTGATTTTAGTCAATAAACTTAGAATTGTTTAATAAGTCTTTGATACTCACTTTTTATAATGGAGATTAAAAGAATTGGGGGCAATGCTGGGGTTATATTATAGTGGTTGCCTGATTGCAATAACTGTAACAAAGATCATGACAGAATTTTCTTTAAAAATACTCTAGCCCTGAATCTGATCATATATACGCCAATGTATAAGAATTGAAAGAAGAATGTGCAGCTAATAAAAATCAAAAGAGTTACAATATGTAAAATTTGAATAAATGATATCAGAATCACACATTCATATCACATGCCTATAACTTTTTGGAAACTTCTACTTTGATATCAACACCTTCTTCTTTGGCAATTTCAACCCAAAGTGAATATTTTTTTAGCAAAAAATTTACTCCGCTTTTTTTAGCTGTAGATCAGTGAATTAAAAAAAAGGACCTGATTTTCAGTGAGGTCTCGGCCATACCTATATAATTCTGGCAAAGTGCAGCAGCAAGGTTGTCCAATAAGTAGCAAGACCCAGTTCAGAGGGGTTCTTTAAAAAAAAAAAAAAAAGCTCAAATTTTTAAAATAATTTTTGAAAGGAATATATTCCGTAACATAACTCCAGCGGGCCCAGGTTCCTCCAACTGACCCTTCCTTACTCAACTCCCAGTCTCAACTGGAAGCTGGGGAGTTTTACAAAGGGCTCCCTTACCCAGAATAATTTGATAGGAAGAGAAGATCCTCCCCATCTCTCTGGGTGACTGACAGCTCAGCAGCCAATCAGCTCTTTTCCCCTCACTCTGGGTTCTACAAGAGTTTCACACCCATCATAATTATGTTCTGAGAGCCACTTATTTAAGATATCATCCCTCGCCCTATTTCCTGCCATGATATGGAGGTTTGCTAAAGTGCCTTGACTCAATAGGCTAGATTGTAAACCATCTCCTCACAATGGTATGGGGAAATATTCATGTGAATAACTGCTCACTAGGATGAGTAAGGGGTTCGCAATCTAGCCCCATGTAAGAAAAATTACTAAAATGTGTAAACATTTGAAGGACCAGGCCCTAAATGTAGAACAGGTATATGGATGCACTATGGAATGGATGGATATCCTATGGACCAACAAATTGGCATCATTTACCTCATTATCACATTTCCATCAGTGTATGTGACGTATATTTGTGACTTGTTGGGAATTCACTGAGAATACAATGTGAAGTGACACAACACAAGGAGTAAATTGCACTCCCAGTTGTAACATCAGTAAGGCTTCTAGAAGATGTATATGTATAAATCTAAAGGGTCCTTGTATAGTTTAGGAATAGTCTTATTCATGCACACTCATTCTGGTGGGAGCTCATATAAGTAAAATAGTGAGCAAATGACTGCCTTACGTGTAAAGTGAAACCTCAGTTCCTGTTCACAGGTATCAGCATGACATGGTCCTTGAAAATATAGGTATTCATGGGTTAAATATTTGTCTGTACCTTGTTCTTTTGTGTAACCCCATCCGATCACCTGGCAGTTGGTATAAATTGTGTTTGTTTCTTCTTTTGATGGCAAGCATATGGGACTTTGTAAATCTAAAATTTAATTAAAAATATTAGTTTAGTTAGAAGAAAGATTTAACCTTAAGGTTCTTTTTGTCCCCATTGAAGCCCTGATGCTATTCTTCTCCATAGGCTTCTCCCTCCAGACTGTACAGTGCCACCATGTTCCTGTCTAACGTGGACAGGGTGAGTCTCATAAGAACATAAGAACGGCCATACTGGGTCAAACCAAAGGTCCATCTAGCCCAGTATCCTGTCTTCTGACAGTGGCCAATGCCAGGTGCCCCAGAGGGAAGGAGCAGAACAGGTAATCATCAAGTGATCCATCCCCTGTCACCCATTCCCAGCTTCTGACTCCCCTCAGAACCCACAAGCTGTATATTCGAGTAAAGGAACCCTAGCTTCATCCACAGCAGTGCTGAGACCTACCATTAGGTCACCCTACGAAGCTTCCAAATTTAGAGAAATAATTTTATTATAATGTAATATTCTATGTACTAGTAAAATTCATAGGCTTATCAAGTTTCATTAAGGCGATGTCATATCCAGTTTCTGCGATCACATATTGAGGGTGAATAATAATCTCTTGGACTTTGAAGACAGGTGTATCCTCATTTATTTCTGATAGTTTTAAAATGCCAGCATAAACACGCCAAATGTTGGGATTCTCGAGACTAAAGGAAAAAGACAAACAAGCAATCTCAGGTTCAGAGAATTTCACTATTTTATATTGTTTGCAGGTGCCAATGTTTTCAGTTACCCTTGGGTGAACAGAAGCAAGCACTCATGCCATTCTTTCCATTGCTGCATTTTCATAGTGTCAAACTAAAAAGAGATTCAGTTTTTCCCTCTCCCCTGCTTTGCATGTCTCCTGTTCCTCTTCTCATTTATATTCCCATCTTCACATCAGCTTTCGCTCTCCTTTATATTCCCATTCTTTCTGATCCTTTTTCATCTTCTTTCTATCTCTCCCTTCTGGTCTCTTTTTAGTCTCTTCTCTCCTTATTTTCCTTTCTAAGGGCCTGATCCAAGCCACACTGAAGTCAATGTGAGTCTTTTCATTGACTTCAGTGTGCCATTTTTTATTAGCCAAAATAGAATTGGAAATGTAAATTCCAGTAGAGTATATTCAAGGACTTATCTAATATAAAGATGACTCTTACCACTAAAAATTTTGCTGTAAATGTAGAGGAGAAAATGTAATTACATAGCGCTATATGAAAAATTCCAGTTCATTTCTCTAGATTCAAATTTCATAGGAGTGCATGTACTAGTGACTTTGTATGAGATTATTTGATTTCAGTATTATACTATTAAGTCATTGTTAAAAGTTCAGTAAGTGCATAAATTAAGTAAAATAAATTATCTTAAATTGATTTGCTACAGAAAGTTTATATGTGAACTGACAAATATCAGTTAACTAATTTTCCATCAACAGAATAAAGCTATTTTTCTTTTAATAGGGTGCCCTCTTCTCTTCTAAAATATTGGTAAGATTCTACTCCTATAAATAAACTTTTGATAACATGCATGTAAAGATAATCTTTACACTATTGGACTTGTCACTCTGGGCCAGAGTTTGACACCCTTAGGTAAGACTACTTGCAGAGTAAGGTGCCTGATTCTGAGGTCCATGTGACTAAAAGTAGCCATGTTACTGGATCAATGCTCTCCTTCTTTTGGGCCTGTCACCTGTCATCTCCTTCATGTTCAGCATGGTTCCCACAACACTGGGGGCAGCATCCAGAGACAGCACTTTCATCAGTAACTGACAGGATGAGCTGCTTTTTTAAAATGTAGACAACACAATGAGGAGAAGGGAGCAGCTGAATGTCAGTTATGTATATCTGGTCTCCAAAATATTAATGGCTTCATGTGTACTCACAAACTTGTCAACCATTAAAGGTATGTATTGTATGTTTCTATGCACTCTAGCATTCAGTACTTGCTGGCCGCACTAAATTCCATGGTAGTTTTACAAATCACTAATAATTAGAACATAAAAATAACTGATTCATACAAAGAAGTTTTAGTCACTTAAATTGAAGCATTTCAAATGTAACATCCTAGTAATTATACTCTAGAGATTAGTTCCAGTGTAAGTCCCTGTTTCCAGGACCTTTTAAACAGAGTAGGGCAGAATCTCTGAGGTGCTCCAGACCCTTGACACTACTCCAGGCAAACAGAATGGAAATTGACCAGATCTTGCCAGCTGAGAGTTCCCCTAGCATGGCAGAGTCCTCAGTTAGCAAAGAGCTAGTTCCTATGTCTCACAGTCAGCGTTGGGGGATGTACTGTAGAAAGAAGAGTGCATGGATACAGTGCTGCTGTATTCTAGCTATTTTCAACTGGCAACCAGATGCCAGGGGCTATAACCAGCTGTCATAGATTAGAACAGATTAGAGCAATCCCAGAGATTATCATACAGCTCATGTTCAACACTGTATGCAATTATTCAACACTTTATCTGTAGGCAAACTTTCTTAAACATGTCAAAGACACTAATCTCCATTCATGTCCAAGTCTTTGACAAATTTTGTCTTCAACAAAAGCCCTCAGAACACAACATCCTTTTGGGGGTGGGGGAATAACTTGGTGAAAAATACATTTTTTTCACACTCACTGTACAGTGGCCACACAAAACTTGACAACATTTTCCAGTGAAATTCACCTTTGAGCTGAAAACAAGCCTGAGAAATTTCAGTCTGTGGGGTTTTAAAAGACATTATAAATGATTGAAAATATTGGTACAGGAAGTGTCTTCTCATACGGGACAATAGTGCTGAGCTCCAGTTGTTGTGGAAACCAGAATTTTCTGCTTTAAAAATCTCATCTTTTGGTTTCATTAAAATAGTTGCTTCCTCCCTACTCCTCATTTTTACTATTTATATTTATTTTTTGTGAAAGACAGGTGTTAACTGAGACCTCACATGGTGTCAGAAAAATCTTACCCTATTTCATTCCTTTATGAGTAGTACTCACTTATCAATGCAATGCGCAGCTGTTAGAATCCACTGATTGCTGATAATTGACCCTCCACAGAGATGTCTCTGAGTAGATAACTTGACTTGCAAGCTCACTTGCCATGGCCATTCACCCTGGAAAGAATCTGTCCCTCCGACAACTCTGTCATCTGGTTTAGGTGGTTGCATACAGACTATGGAAAGAATTAAAAGCCTGTACAGCTTTATTTAGCAGTTTGCATCCCAAAAGATCTGAAAGTGTTCTGCAAATGATATATGAACTATATGTCGGAAACATTTCACCCACCAGTGGAATTTCAGCCACGTCTGGAGCATCAGCTAAGTACTAAGAGTAAGAGTGACACCTACTGAATTCTGATCCCTTTATGAGTATGATCTCAGTGTAAATCTATTTTTTTTAAGACCATGCATATTATTTACCACTAAATTCTGCCACTCTTACTCTTGTGGAATAACACCTTGTGGGACTATTCATGGAAAAAGATACCATTTATGTGAGTAATGGTGGTAATTAGGTTTACTCATATTGATGTCAATGGAGCTATACACCATTGTGGAATTTTGCCCATTAACTTTGCACAGCTTTATTAAGTGAAACTTTTGCTTACCAGTGCTGGCTTTTCTTTTACATAACCTTAATGTGTAGCCAGAGATCCTTCCTTTCTCATACACTATTCCAGTTGGGGATCCATTTGAGGACATTCTCAAGTAGCATTTGCATTTACTGTAGATCAAATGAATATACAGATTAAATTATAATTTTTTACCTAATATACTTGCTGTATGACTTCTTCAGCAAACTTTAAAACATACAAAAAATTATCTTACCCTTCCTTGTTGCATGATTCTTGGAGTGGGAAATAAGTAAAAAACTGGCAGCGGATTGTGTCTGTGCAAACTTGCTGACAAGCTTTGTGTCCTTTAACATAGGTAACATTCAATTCATCTCCCAAAAAGTTTGTGTCCGTGTAAGTGCGGGAATGGCAGGCTGTAAGGCATTAACATTGCATATGTCAATAAATCAACATGTTCCCTGCACTGGTGTTCCATTCTCAGACTAATTTTCTATTGCTTATTAAAATTAATCATTTTAAATTGATGTGGGTTTTTACTGTAATGCATGCTTTACCAGGAAAAGATCTTTTGCAGTTTAGAAGACTAAAACCGGACATAGCATTTTCCCTTTCTACAGGTGCATCTGGTACCCCAGTTCTTGAGGTCTTAAGGAAACAAAGATTTCTAAAAAAAAAATTAAAAATAGTATTAAGTCACTGAACATGTCCTAACACTGATCTCCCAAACTAAATGCCCTGCAGTGTAGATCAGACTGTAAATTGCACAATCTGGCTCTAGGGAAATTAGACATTGTGTAAATTGGCATAGCACCGCGCTGTACCAGCTGAGGATCTGGCCTGTTATTACCAAGGTTTTGAAAAGCAGCAGCACTTCCAAGTCCTAGCAAGTGAAGCTCCTTATCTGTATTGTTTTACATTTCTGCAAAAATAATTCCATATAAAAAGACATTAAGAGAATGCTAAGGTTCCATGATTCGACATCTAAGGTGCTAGATATAAAAGTGGCCCCGACGATCAGTGCTGCCCCCTCTTCCCCCCTCCAGCGCCTCCTGCCCACTGGCGGCCCCGCTGATCAGCTCTTCCCTCTTCCTTCCAGTGCCTTCCACACACCATGATCAGCTGATCAGTGACAGGGGCAGGAAGAGGCAGGCATGGGGGGAGGCTTGGAAGAAGGGGTGGAGTGCAGGCAGAGCCTCGGGCAAAGCTAGGGTCAAGCACCCTCCGGGAACTGAGGAAGTTGTCGCCTATGACCTCAACATTCTTTCCACATAAGACTTTATGGGTATGTCTACACAGCCCACAGCAGAAATTTGCCCAGCCTGGACTCAGACTAGTGGGGCTTGTACTAGTGCTCTATAAATAGCTGTGTAGACAGTGCTTTGAAGTTGTGGCTCAGGATGGAGCTTGGGCTCTGAAGCCTAGAGAGAGGGGTTCAGAGCCTGAGCTTCAGATACCTGTTTTAAAAGTTTAATAAGAATTCATCTTTTTCTTATTTAGGAGAATTGGAAGTTTATTCCCTCTTTGATATGTATTTTCTGATTAACTTTTATGGTATGTGCCTCTAGATATGCAATTTCAATAACAGCCCCCAGTGCACATCGGAGGAAAGAATTTGGCCCTTTGAGAGATTAAATGTCCCCTTTGATACCATACACATATGAATAAAACATTTGTAAAGCTGTACTTTAGTGAGCATTCCCACAGCTATATTAGTAGAACTTTTATTGTTTGTTATTAAAAATGGACATAAGTAATTTTAATGCTTCTAATTAGAATTTTAAAAATTAACTGTCATATTCACCTTTGTGTTTCTACTTTCCATTCCCTGGTAAAAAATGTAAAGAATAAGCAGTTTGGATAATAAGTACAAATCGTTCGACATACAAAGCTATCAGGAGTGAAAACACTTGTAAGATCAATTCCTGAAAATGTTATTTGTTGAAAAATGTCCATACGACAATCTGCATAAAAGAAGAAAAAAAAATATCTAAACTCTAGTAATTTCTGATATCAGAATACTGAGATGCATTTATATACAAGCCTTATTAGTTTTCCTCTGTGTTTGAAGGATATCATAAGATTTTAATAAGAAATCATATTTTTATGAACATCTTAAAAAAAATCTCTCTTTGTGCTCCTTCATTCCTTCTTTCTTTTCTCATTTATTTCAAGAAGCAAAAGGAAAAAGACAAATATTTTTAGGGCTGTCAATTAATTGCAGTTAACTCACGTGATTAACTCAAAAAAATTAATCGCGATTAAAAAAATTAATCGCAATTAATGGCACTTATAACAATAGAATACCAATTGAAATGTATTAAATATTTTGGATGTTTTTCTACATTTTCAATATTGATTTAAATTACAACACAGAATACAAAGTGCACAGTGCTTTATATTATTATATTTTATTACAAATATATGCACTGTAAAAATGATCAACAAAAGAAATAGTCTTTTTCAATTCACCTCATACAAGTACTGAAGTGCAATCTCTTTATTGTGAAAGTGTAACTTACAAATGCAGATTTTTTTTTTGTTACATAACTGCACTTAAAAACAAAACACTGTAAAACTTTAGAGCCTCCGAGTCCACTAAGTCCTACTTCTTATTCTGCCAATCGCTAAGACAAATAAGTTTGTTTACATTAACGGGAGATACTGCTGCCTGCTTCTTACTTACTGAAAGTGAGAACAGGCGTTTGCATGGCACTTTTGTAACCAGCGTTGCAAGGTATTTACATGCCAGATATGCTAAACATTTGTATGCCCCTTCATGCTTCGGCCCCCAGTCCAGATGACATGGTTCCATGCTGATGATGCTCGTTAAAAAAATAATGCATCAATTAAATTTGTAACTGTACTCCTTGGGGGGAGAATTGTATGTCTCCTGCTCTGTTTTACCTGCATACATTTCATGTTATAGCAGACTTGGACAATGACCCAGCATGTTAGTTTTAAGAACATTTTCACAGCAGATTTGACAAAATGCAAAGAAGGTACCGATGTGAGATTTCTAAAAATAGCTACAGCACTCGACCCAAGGTTTAAGAATCTGAAGTGCCTTCCAAAATCTGAGAGGAATGCAGTGTGGAGCATGCTTTTAGAAGTCTTAAAAGAGCAACACTCTGATACGGAAACTACAGAACCCAAACCACCAAAAAAGAAAATCAACCTTTTTCTGGTGGCATCTGACTCAGATGATGAAAATGAACATGCGTCAGTCCACACTGCTTTGGATCGTTATCAAGCAGAACCCATCATCGGCATGGAAGCATGTCCTCTGGAGTGGTGGTTGAAGCATAAATATCTTGGAACGCCAGCTACAACAGTGCCGTGTGAATGCCTGTTCTCACTTTCAGGTAACATTGTAAACAAGAAGCAGGCAGCATTATTTCCTGTGTTGTAATTGAAATTAATATATTTGAAAATGTAGTAAACATCCAAAAATATTTAAAATAAATGGTATGCTATTGTTGTTTAACAGCACGATTAATCACGTGATTAATCACTATTCATTTTTTTAATTGCTTGACAGCCCTAATATTTTTCAAATGTATTTAGTAGTTTGATTTCAGCTGTGATAGCTACTTGTGATATCACAACTACTGTAACTCATGCAATTCTTTTGATAAGATTTCAAATTGATCTCAATTTTTTCTCATACTTAAAAACATATTATATTGCCATATATTTTAGCCTCCCATCTATGACGGCCAAAACCAGTCAGTGTGATTCACTAAATGTCAATGGAATTTCTTCCATATCCATGTGTGTGTCTATCTAATATAAACTAAAACTGGACAATGTGAAAAGCCATTCCTTAGTTGCTACTGCTTTATGGCTGGTATGGGCACTGATACCTCTTAACATCTTCTCCCTTATTCACACCCCTATCCCATTTCCTCTTCATTATCTTCTGCACTTAGTGAGCAGGTGTCATCATTGCTCATATTAATATTGTAAAGAGTTGGATTACACTATTTTTGAGATCATTTCCTGAGAATATTTCTATAATGGGACTAGCAGACACTCTAATGCAGAAAAGGACAAATAACAGAAAGATCAAGAAATACAAAATGGCGTTACAATTATTGGAAGAGATTTCTCGTGAAGGAAGTTCTATGGCCTGTGTTATACAGGAGAGATGATCACAGAGATCTCTTCCGGCCTTGGAGTCTATGAATCTGTGAACTAAGATAATGCATGAAGAAGAAAAATGTCACAACTAAGATAGGAGAATGCCAGACAATATGAGGAGGATGAGAAAGATAAGAAAAGGATGAAGCAGGATGTTACAATTAAGTACAGGAGGGAATAATACCCAGAATCTGAGCCTACAGTCCTGAGAATTTTGCCTGGATAGTAGGAACAGGCTCAAATCATACATTAGGCTTAGCAACAGAATTCCCACATTTTACAGAAAATTTATTCTCTGATCAGTTTTATGCTTGCTTTAAAGATCTTCAAGAGCTAGTCTACACTTCCGCGCTACATCGGCGCAGCTGCACCTCTGTAGCGCATCTGGTGAAGATGCACTATGCCAACGGGAGAGTCCTCTCCCATCGGCATATTTATTCCACCTCAACGAGAGGCAGAAGCTATGTCGGGAGAGAGCAGCTCCTGCCTACATAGCATGGTGTGGACACCGCTTTAAATCAATACAACTTGCGTCGCTCAGGGGGTAGCTTTTTCACACCACTGAGTGACGTAAGTTACATTGACTTAAGCAGTAGTGTAGCCAAGCCCCAAGTGTATACACTGCACATAATTTGAAGCAGCAAACTTTAGTCTTTTCCTGATCTTCTGACCTTTTTGGAATTTTATCTTACAATTTTTGTATCTATGATACAAAAGTAAAACACAAAAACAAAATTTTGAGATCTTCATCTCCAAAGGCATTTCCCACAGTGATGATAAGAGAGGAAAGTTAAAAGAGTCAGAACCTGTAATTTGAAGTTTACTGACATAGGCTACTAGCTACAGGTTCCAAAAAAGGAATGAGTTGATACTATTGTCTTTTTACGTTGTACATATAACACTTGTACACATGAGGTCTATATAGAATACCTTGTTATTCCATTTCCTTTCAATCTAAGTTAAATCAATAGAGATGTAAATAGTTACCTGTTTGAGAAAGTTGGCAGGGTTTTAATGAAAATCCAGATACAACATTATTAAGCAGTCTTATACTGGTTGGTGTTCCCATCCTGCTATTTTTCAAGAAGCATTTGTTACTGAATGTGGGGGGGAAAAACATATTTAGTAGGACAACAAACCAGATTCTTTGATCTAGGAAATCAACTTTGTGCTGCTTGAGTGGACTTAAACTTGGCAGAAATGGCCATCGGAGAATTCTCCCTGCGCAAGGTAGTTCTCTGCTCTTGCATCAGCACAGTACACAGGGCAGAACAGGCAGTGAGGGGTTTGGCAGAGCAGAGCCTCCCATACAACAACTGATTAGCTGAACCCTGTTTAGCTTGTAAGATCTGACAGGATCACAGCACAAATGGAGATATCCTATCTCCTAGAACTGGAAGGGACCTTGAAAGGTCATCAAGTCCAGCCCCCTGCCTTCACTAGCAGGACCAAGTACTGATTTTGCCCCAGATCCCTAAGTGGCCCCCTCAAGGATTGAACTCACAACCCTTGGTTTAGCAGGCCAATGCTCAAACCACTGAGCTATCCCTCCCCCCACAACCACAGTACAACTACTAATCATGTAACTTCTCAGGTCCCAGTTCATGGTACCCTGTTTTATAATCACTTTCTAGAGCACTAACCAGAGCTTTGTGGGGTAGGCCTGTGAAACAGTGTTTTACTCCAGTCCTCAGCAATAAGTGACCCCTATTCACCCTGATTCACCACTATGCACTGAGCCTTCCCTGGGATTTGGGGGAAGATTAATAAGAGGATTCTTTATGGTGCATTTTAAATGAAATGTATGGGAAGGAGAGGAAGAATATTCAGCCAAATACTGGGGAAGAAGCGGAGCCCAGATACCTGGTCAAAATTGTCACCATTTAAAAAGTTTGCAAGGGACTTTGAGCCTAATAAATGGTGAAATTGAGAGCTACAGACCCACAGCTACTGCAGGATATGGTGTCCATTGGGGAACCTTAGCACTTTATATAGTAGCATTTTACAAGCATGAACTAATTAAACAGCACAATATCTCTTGCGTCTGATGAAGTGGCCATTCACCCACGAAAGCTTATGCTCCAATACTTCTGTTAATCTTAAAGGTGCCACAGGACCCTCTGTTGCTTTTTACAGATTCAGACTAACACGGCTACCCCTCTGATACTTGACACAATATTCCTGTTAGCAGAAAATTATTATTGTCTCTATTAAGTATCTGGTATAATATTGCCTTAAAGATGTAAGTTGACAAATGAACACACTGACATATTGTGTTGGGGAATGAAAGCAATAAAACATTATATTTAAAAGGTCCAACTTTCATGTAAATTTCTCAAAATATGCGATGGGGCAGAAAAATACAGAAGATATTTGCTAATAATGCAATCTGATTATTAGTAATTATTTTTATTATGGTAGTGTCTGTGACAAACATGGCAATTTCCTGCGATATCCTTGAAAAACCTTATTGTATTAAATGCAAAGTTTATGTATTTTTGTGGGCCAGGATTGTATGTAACCTTTCTAGGAGAGAGATGTGATATGAGGCTTGGGAGTTCAGAGGATTATATTGAAATTGTGCCAGACAAAAATTGATTTTTGGATAAATAAACTGAGTTTAAACTGACTTGGGGCCTTCCTTCTGATCCAGAAAATGGATAGGACCTTTTGTCCAAGGGGGGACCCCAACCCTTGCATCAAGGTTGGAAGACTTGGTCTTCTAGGGCCCCATAAAACTAATGGGTGACCGCTGGTAAGCTTTTTAGCACGTGTGTAAGTTCTTTTATTATTTTTAATATGTTTTTTCTGTAATGCTTTTACCTTACAAATAAATGTGCTAGCTTAGAAAAAAGCTGTGTGATAACTTGTAACTGCTTGCAATTACTCTGTTCATAGCCTCTGGAGAGGAAGCAAAGTACAGACACTGGTCTGCTTAGGCAGTCTGGCTTGCTGGGAATATCACAGTGTAGGCATGGAACTATGCATCCTGGAAAAACCCCAGTGAAGAGTGTGAGAGGTGCAGGTTGCTACTCAAGAGGACAGTGGAGGAGAAGGCACCTAGAGTGGGTGACCTTGGTGGACCACAGGGAGGAATATAGGTGCAGTTGCCCTGACCTGTGACAATGCCTAAGGGACAGCCAAGAACAGGAACTTATTGTGCTGTTCAAATATAGAGTAATAGGATAGGAATAGTTGTATTATATTATCATTGAAACTTAACTTACATTTTTAAATATACCAGCAAAGAAACAATAGCATAAACTTTAATCATAGTAACAATAATGGCAATAATATAGTAGTAATCAATAATAATTTTAAAATTCATCATAGGTTCCTGATCTTGCACTGAGCTGAATGCATGTGGATCCTTTTAACCACTGAGGTCAGTGGCACAATGTTCAGGTGCTGTGCAGATGGAGCTTAGTGAAGGATCAGGGACATAGCTTCCTCAATTGCTTTTTCTATTAAATAAAACAAAATACTCTAGTAATAAGATTAGAATTTAACAATATCCCCATTTTAACAACAACAATTACACCTCTCTCTTATCTAGCACTTGTCATCCAGAGATCTCAGAATACTTTACAAGAGAATGAAGTATCATTATCCCCATTTCACAGATGGGAACACTGAAAAAGAGGGGTGGCAATAACTTGTAATTAACTAGAGAATGATAGCCAATATCACTTGAAATCTTTACATCTCCCCTGCATTTTAGACTCTCCAGTACTGTAATACCAAGCTTCCCTTTGCATCCAGGAACAAATCCAAGTTAAACCACTACAGACCTTTTCCTACCAATAAGTCTAGACCTGATTTGAATAGGAAAAGGATATATTTGTGATTAATTTCTACATTTCAAAGAGAACAATGCAATGTAAATGCTATTTCCTTAGCTTCCCTTTTCTTAAATTTTGTCTATGAATTACAGTGCTAAGCCATACTGCTGTTCAGTTAGAAGAGTCAAAATGTTATTTACCGAAAGTCTGCACTGTGAAATGCTCCTGAAGCATACGTAAAAAATTGACAGTTGTAGTCATTGGTGCATCTCTTTTGACACTGTTGATAGCTGTCAGCAGTAGTTATATTATAATTTGTCCCTTGCATATCCAATCCTGTATGGACATCCATGCTGCAAGCTGGGGAATACAAACAAACTACTATTCTGAAGACATTCGGTATTAGAAGTGCCAAAGATACAGCAGTTCACATGAAGCAACCTTACTCACTTGATTCTGCTGCTCTTATACACTTGAGTAGCACCTTACTTTGTACATAGCCCCATTCATAACACTGGGATTGCAGACAGAGTCAGGTGCTACTTGATACAAGTAAGAGTGGCAGAATCTGGTCTTAAAGATGCATCTGTGTCTTTGCAAGAGGAGAGAGCTGAGGACAGTCAGATCACTGAGTCACCATGATGGGATTTCAGCCATGTGGCAGCTCACATTGATACATCAGAGTTTGTCTTTCTACTTTCAAAATTCACAAAGCATAAACCAGCTCTTTTAACAGGCAAATTCTGTCCTCAGACACAATAGCCAACTCCCGTTGGAGTCCATAGGAGTTGTTCACATGCATCCAAAGGGAGAATTTTGACCAAAGAAATTGAAATAAATCTTCCCCCAGTAGATGGAGGTTTTACTTTTTACATTTTGGGGCACTGGGTTGTATTCACCCAGCACATTTGTCAGCTAGCCAGAGCTGTTTCCTTATCATGAATAGAAAGGGCCAGATTTTGATTTGAACTACACTAGCCTGATTCCAGAATAACTCCAGAGGCATTAATTAGAATGAACAGCAGAAAAAATGTCCTTATAGCAAGATCTATTAGACTTGGCAAAAGCAATTTAGAACTATGAATATGAGTTAAATAACTCTGGCATCAGTACATAATTCAACAAAAAAGGACTTCAAGATAGTAGTGAATGCTCTATCAGATGAGTGCCTGTAAGAGGTGAGATGCTGAATTTTGAATAAGCTGCAGCCTAGTGGTATATAATAGGCCCCATTTAACCTTGATGTAAGCAGGCATCTCTCCAATGAAGAAAATAGAGTTGTGCCCTGTTTGGCCAGGCTCCGCTTGGCCCAATATCAGCAAGGGGTTCCTAAAAGAAATAATTGCAAAAAATATAATCTCGCATGTGCCACGAAAGCATTTATGAATCATGCCAAATCTGTTTTGCTGAGCACTGGTCTCAGCTTGGTGACATCTTGATGATAGTATGAAGAAGTTTTAATAATGGATTTAAAACATGCATCCATTGACATGTCTTAGATATGGCACACTAACTCCCAGACTGGGTTAAATATTTAAAGATTAACTCAGTAATGAATTATCAAAGGGCATCATCAAGGTCGGAGCATCACACAGCAACAACAGAGAGCCAATACTGTGTGCTTCTGTTTTGATTGACATATTCTCTATAGAGCTATAGGGCATGCATTGCCAAATATCTCATAAGCAACTGGATGGAGTAAAAATGACAGTAGAGCACTCAGATGGAGAAGCAAGATATATTTGAGAATAATCTGGAGAGCTACAGCACAGAAGTGCAGAATGCTCCACCTTGTGATTAAACCAAGTGGAAGAATAAGGTTGAACTAATAGGATTTCCTTGCTGCTTTGTTGTTGGGAATCTAGAAGTCAGGGAGATGGGATTCAAAAAGAAGCTAGGAAAGGAATTGTCAGTTGTTATTGAAAAGAGTTCCCATGAAGTGATTATCCACCATGGTTATCTTTCTGGTTCCTCTTTTAGTCCATTCTAGCTCTTTGAAATATTTGCTGTGTATCACACGGTGTAAAATAGATTTAGTTGCACAGTAGATGAATAACCATATCTTACCCCTGATTTGTGTGTTACATTGTTTTAAGGAATGTCCAGAGATTGCACCTGCCATGCCCACCTTTGGCAATATTTCAGTATCACTGTCTTTCAAGAAGCAGGTAAACCTGTATTTAAAAAGCAATGTTAGGTAAAATTAACCTCCAAAGCCCAGACGCAAGGGAAATAGCTTGTGTTCAGTGTTATGTTTCTATTCTCAAAGAGCAAAATGTGCTTTCAGGGCCAGCTCCTCAGCCCCATTTTAGCCCCTTCTGGTGCAAGAAGAATTAAAACTGCCTTAAGGCAGCAGTTATGGAGTCCCCTAACCTAGCCCTTCCTGACCCCTTCCAGCATAAAGGGTGTTCTGGGGTAAGGAAATCTAGGCATTCCCAAATTCCCCAGCATCATTATATCCAGGCACCAAATGCTTCCAGATTTAAAATTTTAGGGCTGGAGCATGCTGTGTAGTCAATGCTCCATTTTTGGCAATTACTATTCATGTGGGGACCCCAGGAGGCCATGTGGCTCATGGAGGCAAAATACCTCTAGAATAACTCATTCTGTGTGGTGGGGTCTAACCATAATCCTTTTTGCTATATCCCTGGGACACATGATGGGTTAGATATGGGAAGGGAGTATCTAAAGAAGATGTATACAGTAAGATGAGTAGGCCTTTAACAACACACAGCAGATCTGAAGGAGTGCACGAGTGGTTTCCTTTCCTGAAGCTTCCAAAGGTTTGGGAAATGCTGATTTAGATGATCATGTCAAAAGAAATGAGAGCGTGTTACCCAAAGCAACCTGTTCTTCTACTGTGAGAGCCACCATTGTGTTCTTCCTTTAAGCAGATTTCAGCATTTCCTATGTAATAATATTACATTGATGGAGTGGTGCTGAGTGCCTAAAATACATTACACATCCGTAGCACAGAAAAATCTGCTTCTGTTACAGAGACATGGTATGTTACCTTTTGGCAGGATCTTTAGTCCACGTTGCTGGAAGGTAGGTGAACAACAGACACCTAGGATGGTAAGTACACACTATTCGACAGTAATCAAGGTTTGGTGTGAAAACTGTAGACACATCTCCTCCTTGGAAGTATGTATTTTCATAGATCTGAGTTATACATTCTGATATAGAATAGTGAAATGCATTAGTTTGTGTTACTGCAGGTGGTAAATCTCACAATATGTTGACCAGATGAGGACTAAGGCAGGGTCCCGGAGCCAGATTCTCAGGTAGTGGAAATCTGCATAACTCCAGTCGGCTCCAACTTTTGATGGACCCTCTATTTCCTCTTAATCCATCCAGGATCTAGCTTTACCTGCTTTATACCAAGGAACAAAACACTCTCTAAAGACAAAATTAAATACTGAACTTGAAGCGAAGTGAAAAAGTAAAAGTTTAGGAACTGTAGAGAACCTAAAGAGCGATAATATAATCTCAAATGTATAGGCACACATCATCAAGCATGTATTAACTCTCCTACAGCAAAACACATCCACGTAGCTTGTATGTGTGAATAATAGAATAAAGGCTGTACTGATCTGTTCATATGTTTCAAAGAATGGGTAGGTGCTAAATCTGAGGGCAGGTCTACACTACCGCTTAAGTCTATCTAACTTACGTTACTGAGGGTGTGAAAAAACATACCCTTGTGCGATGCAAGTTAGATCGACCTAAGCACTGTCTACACTGGCGCTAGGTTGGCAGGAAACGCTTTCCCACTGACATAGCTTCTGCCTCTCATGGAGGTGGAGTAATTATGCTGATAGGAAAGCGCTCTCCCCGTCAGCATACAGCATCTTCACCAGAAGCACTACAGCAGCGCAGCGGCGCCAATGTAGTGCTTCTAGCGTAGACCTGCCCTCAGTTTTAAAACACCACACACAATGCAGGTTTAGAGATGCATACACTATGCTGCTAGTTGTTTTGCCCTCTGGAGTGTTAGGAAGTGTTGCTATGTATATCCATGTGTATATATAAGAGGGTTTTGCTCAGGATGCAGTTCTACTATTAAAAGAAAAAATGGATAAAGGGAAATTATTCTAGTCTATATGGACTGGGAGGAAATTCCAGTGAAATATATTTACTAAATTGATTACTGTTATTGATTACTCTGTTATTTGACAGCCTTCGCACTGAATTGAAAACCATGTCCAAAACACTTAAACAAAATAAAAAAATTAAATATATTTAAGTTTAACCCTTTTAAAAATGCTCATCGCAGTTAAACTCTTTAAATCTTAACCCTTTCCAGGACTTTAAAACCATTTTTATCCCCTAACATATTAAATGTAGGACCCATTAATACAAATTATTATAAAATATATTTTAGGTATATCAGTGAAAATACATATTTTAAAGGAATTCAACCGGTTAGGATCCAAGCTATTTTGGTTATTTGCAAGGTTTTCACAATTTGTCAAAAAATAAGTATATCTCTTTGTTTATGCAAAAAAGCATTTTATAAATATAGAATGTGACTATGATGTGTGTGTGTGTGTGTGTGTATTTACTAGTTTTCTCAAAATATCAAAATGCATTATTATCACTAGAACTTATTTACATAAGCTTTAATCATGACAACAAAAGGAATGCCATTTGCTACAATTTGAAACATTTAACATAGTAAATACATTTTTAAAATAGTACAAGTTATCTGATGATTCAGCTGCTCAGTAACTTATTTACCTTTTTGTAAGACTACAGAAGAAGTTAAGAATTTAGTATTCTGATTTTGGGGTGCTCTAATTTAGTAGGGGGCATTGCTTCCACAACCTTTTGACAAAGTGCAAAGTCTTTAGCTTTCTAGAGCTTCCACTCCAAATAATACATTTATTAAAATGTTAGATGAATCTGTCAGTCTGTTCTTGTTAAATACTCTATTAGCTAACTCCATCCTGTGTGAAAATAGATAATTCATTAGGAAGCATAAAACTGTAGTTGATATTTCTCCTAACTTATTGGCATAGTGCTCATTGTGGAAACATGATGGAATGTTTGCCAATCAAATGAAGTAAATCATTAACATATGCTGACATTGAAAAATGTACACAAGAGTTTTACTTTCCTCTGATTGCTACCTTTCAGCTATTTCAACAGATCCATAATGCACAGTAAGATAAATGGGTTTAGAGTTATTCAGACTTCTTACAATAGACTTTTCCATTTAATAATAAGCAGATGTTATAAGGATGCTACTGAACTGTTTCCTCAGCTATTTTTTTTTAAAAGCATAATAGTGTCACAGAAAATAAATGTGTAAGACTGAAGCTTTTTAAAAGTATGTTGCTGATTTTTAGGCCAAGTTTCTCTCTTCAATATGGCTGCTTGGCTGAACCGTTCTTAACCTGTACCCTTCCCCCTACCTGCTAGCACTGGGGAGTGGCCAGGGGAAAGGAGACTTGTCTGTAGCTTCCTCACACCCTGGAAAGCCACAGCAATCTCCTGCTCCTGCTATGCAGACCCCTTGACAGCCAGCACAAGTTACAGCAGCTTTACATTGCTCTAACTTACACTGGGTGACTGGCCAGGAGGAAAGTCAGCCCATGATCATGGGAGCAAAAGAAGTGGCTTAGAGCCTCTACCCACAGGAATTGTGCTATGCACTCTTCAGTTGCAGCAAAGAATCTTGGCCCTAATGTTCTGGGCTAGATATACTTGGTCTGATTCTAATCTCACTTGCACTGGTTCATAATAGAGTTATACTGGAGTTACTCCTAATTTACATCAGTGTAACAGAGTAGAATCAGGCCAGGCTGTACAATCTTTATTAAGATGATTTCAAGTGGTATTCAATGGGATTGCTCATTGAATAGGGTACTACTCAATGTGGGGTAAGAGTATCAGAATCTAGGACCCTCAGTTTGCATGCAAGTATTTAAACTGTCATACATATTATTCCCCTTACTCTTACTTTTTTAAAAGAGTTATATTACTCTGTGTGCACATTTTAGGAAGTATGCATAAACTTACCACTGTAAACCGAAGTGAATAAGAAAATGAAATTAAAGGTCTGATAAATCCAAGCCATCCTAAAAAATAAATACATCAAAATGTTTCTTTAGGATATAATTAACATGTGATGCAATTAATCTTAAAGAGTGGTAGAGCTACACATTATTGGGTGATTTATGTGCTGTCAGACAGTCATTTAAATAACATGCAAAGTCATAGGATACAATTGGAATGACCGTGCTGGTATATACAATAGCATGCATTAGCAGCAGAAGTTTCATACAAGTTTTATGACTGCAAGAATGAATTACATTTACAAACTCTGCTCAGCTCTCCAATGGAGTTACCCTGGATTTTCGCTTGATTAAACTGAGAGCCAAACTGGCCTGCTAATTATACATTTCAGTATTACCAATATGACCATCTCCTGCTAGTCATTTATTTCCAAATGGTTTTTAATCTAAACAGCTGCTAGCAACCATGTAGGCATTGCATTCCTCCTTAGTATTTTAGCAAAATATGAAATCTTACTAAATGAATCTTAAATTCTTCACTTCTAAAAATTTTATGCTGCAAATTTTAGGAGCAGCAAATGAATGTTTATGTCAGCAATATAACACAACCCATAACCAGATCAACATGCATTGTGTAGTGGATACTGCCAATCTTTTATTTGATAGCAATTAAAATAATGGAAGTTATTTACCTGAAAGCACAATAGCTGCACATGTGTGAGTAGTTCTGGCTGGTTGGATAATGCGTGTGCTCTGCTAGGGTAAAAACCAGCACTTCCAATTGTGTTAAATATTTTGCATGCAATGTTTGCCTGACTTGAATATTTACTTTTAATGGGTACTCACAATGTCAACATTGTTTCTGTCTTTGGGCCAGATCCTTAGCTAGTGTAAAGTGGTAGCACTTCAGTGAAGTCAGTGTAGCTACAGCAGTTTACACCTGCTGAGGATCTGACCCTTTGTTTTTAATAAATGTCTAATCCCTGTTTTACAATAGTGAAATCTTCTTCTGCTTAATGTGGGGCCCTGCACAAACTAGTGAAGATTTATGTTTAAGGAAATCTTCAGGGCATAGGCAAAAAAGAATCCCCCTTCCTCTGTCCTATTCTTCCCTCCTTGCCCATGCCCCAAGAAATAGGCCTGATCTCTCCTCACTTATATCAGTATGAATCTTACAATTATATCATTTGTGTGTTAGTGAAATGGTGACTCAAGCCCAAGTGAGTTACACTGGTGTAAATCTGGTGTAATTGAGGAGAGACTCAAGTCTGATGTTTCTTTCCTTTTATCACAAATTCCTGAAGTGCTGCATTTAGCAAGTGGAAACCAATACTCTTTTCAGTTAGGGGGACTGCAGTCTGCTATCTCTAACATATATTCAAATTCCTAATTTTCAAAAGGCTCTCCATCAGCTACCCCACCTGTGTCTCCAAACTCAATTTTCCCTACAGTTTTTCTCACTTGTTATGCCTCCCAACATCCTCTTTCTTAACCACTTCCTTACTATTGGCTTCTTCTGCATTGGGACCTTTTCATTTCTCCCTGTGGTTGATACTGATTCTACTATCTCTGTGCCCAGTGCCTTTCCTTTCCTTCGCTAATTTAGCCCTGTAACGAGACACGTGGCCTTTTATGAACAGACCACAGGTGTGCAGCACTATTCTGTTTCACCCAAAACAATGGCATTCTGGAGGCTGTACATCCCAGAGGGACCATTGGATTCTAGGCTATGGGAAGAAATAGCCTATTATCCCTAGCCTACTCTGCCACAGACTCCCTGTTTGGTCCTGGCTGCCCTAACCTTTGGTTTATAGAATGATTCTTGCTCTTACTCTCTGGCCCAATGAATCAGGCAGAGGAGGGATTTGACCAACAGCCTCCCACATGCTGGGTCAGTGGTACCACTTCTCCTGGTTGTGCTTTGTGCAGAGCCCAATCCGGTTGGCATGCTCTGAGACACCTACCAAACTGCGGGCCCCTAGGCAAGATAGGTGTGAGAATGCAGAGTTTCAGAATTCTGCTAGGGCTTGGGCATGAGCTGTATGCTGGGCATCAGGACTGAGGCAGCACTCTGAATGCTCACCTGCAGAAAGTTAAGTGTCTAGGGAGTTTAGGCACCTACAGGGTTAGCAGAACCCTAGCAGGGGTTTTGAGGAGCTCACTTTTGGATTTAAGTGCCTTACATGGAAGTTAGGTTCTCGCTAGAGAGAATCAAGGGAGATTATGCCAGGCTGGGGAGGACGCTTAAGGAAATCGAGGCTCAGATCATCTTCAGTGGGATTCTGCCTGTTCCTAGAGAAGGGCAGCAAAGGGCTGACAGGATTGTGAGGATAAATAGTTGGCTAAGGGAATGGTGCTATAAGGAGGGCTTTGGGATGTATGGCCAGTGGGAGGCTTTCGGGGACAGACAACTGTTCTCACGGGATGGACTTCACCTAAGTAGGGAAGGAAATAGACTTCTGGGAGGGAGGCTGGCTCATCTCATCAAAAGAGCTTTAAACTAGGAATTTGGGGGAGACGGTTGGGAGATGTCCAGTTAATCTCCACGCCAGATTACAAGGAGGGTGACAAGATAAGAACAGGTATAGCCGGGGAGAAGAGATTGGACATAAGGAGGAGGAGGGGGATGGATACTAGACTAATAAGTCATACTGGCAATACGGTGTCCATACCAAATTGGACGAGTGTGAGAGAGGCTAAACGGCATAAATTAAGATGTTTATACACCAATGCGAGAAGCCTAGGTAACAAAATGGAGGAATTGGAGCTCCTGGTCCGTGAAATGAAACCAGATATTGTAGGAATAACTGAAACGTGGTGGAACTGTAATCATGACTGGAGTACAGGTATGGAGGGGTATGTGCTGTTTAGGAACGACCGGAACAAAGGTGAAGGTGGGGGAGTAGCACTGTATGTCAATAATGAGGTAAACTGTAAAGAAATAATAAGTGATGGAATGGATAAGACGGAGTCTGTCTGGGCAATACTCACATTGGGTAAAAAAACTACTAGAGCCTCCCCTGGGATAGTGCTTGGGGTTTGCTATAAACCGCCGTGATCTACCCTGGATATGGACAGAGAACTCTTTAATGTTTTTAGGGAAGTAAATACTAATAGGAACTGTGTAATCATGGGAGACTTTAACTTCCCGGATATAGATTGGGGAACAAATGCTAGTAACAATAATAGGGCTCAGATTTTCTTAGACGTGCTAGCTGATGAATTCCTTCATCAAGTAGTTGCTGAACCGACGAGGGGGGATGCCATTTTAGATTTGGTTTTGGTGAGTAGTGAAGACCTTGTTGAGGAAATGGTTGTAGGGGACAACCTTGGCTCGAGTGATCATGAGCTAATTCGATTTAAACTAAATGGAAGGATTAACAGAAATCCATCTGAGACTAAGGTTTACAATTTCAAAAAGGCTAACTTTAATAAATTAAGGCGACTAGTTAGGGAAGTGGACTGGACTAACATATTATGGATCTAAAGGCAGAAGGTGCCTGGGATTATTTCAAGTTAAAGTTACAGGAGCTGGCGGAGGCCTGTATCCCGAGAAAGGGAAAAAGGTTCATAGGCACGAGATTTAGACCGAGCTGGATGAGCGAGCGTCTCAGAGGGATGATTAAGAAAAAACAGAAAGCGTATAAAGAGTGGAAGAGGGGAGGGATCGACAAAGAAACCTACCTTATGGAGGTCAGAGCATGTAGAGATGGAGTGAGAAAGGCCAAAAGCCGAGTAGAGTTGGACCTTGCGAGGGGAATTAAAACCAATAGCAAGAAGTTTTATAACCATATAAATAGGAAGAAAACAAAGAAAGAAGAAGTGGGACCGCTGAAGGCTGTAGATGGAGTGGAGATTAAGGATAATCTAGGCATGGCACAATATCTAAACCAATATTTTGCATCGGTCTTTAATGAGGCTAATGAAGGGCTTAGGAATAGAGGCGACGTGACAGAGGGGAATAAAGGAGGGGGCATTGACATTACCGTATCCGAGGTAGAAGCTAAACTTGAACAGCTTAACGGGACTAAATCGGGCGGACCGGATGATCTCCATCCGAGAATATTAAAGGAACTGGCGCGAGAAATTGCAAGCCCGTTAGCGATAATTTTTAATGAATCAGTAAACTCAGGGATGGTACCGTTGGACTGGAGAATAGCTAATGTGGTTCCTATTTTCAAGAAGGGGAAAAAAAGTGACCCGGGTAACTATAGGCCTGTTAGTTTAACATCTGTAATATGCAAGGTCTTGGAAAAAATTTTGAAGGAGAAAGTAGTTAAGGACCTTGAGGTCAATGGCAATTGGGACAAATTACAACATGGCTTTACAAAAGGCAGATTGTGCCAAACCAACCTGATCTCCTTCTTTGAGAAAGTAACAGATTTTTTAGATAAAGGAAATGCGGTGGATCTAATATACCTCGATTTCAGTAAAGCGTTTGATACGGTACCTCATGAGGAATTATTGATTAAATTGGAAAAGATGGGGATCGATATGAAAATCCATAAGTGGATAAAGAACTGGTTAAAGGGGAGACTGCAGAGGGTCGTACTGAAAGGTGAACTGTCAGGTTGGAGGGAGGTGACCAGTGGAGTTCCTCAAGATTCGGTTTTGGGTCCGATCTTATTTAATCTATTTATTACTGACCTCGGAACCGAATGTAGAAGTGGGCTGATAAAGTTTGCGGATGACACAAAGTTGGGAGGTATTGCCAATTCGGAAAAGGATCGGGATATCCTGCAGGGAGACTTGGATGACCTTGTAAACTGGAGTAATAGTAATAGGATGAAATTTAATAGTGAAAAGTGTAAGGTGATGCATTTAGGGGTGACTAACAAGAATTTTAGTTATAAGCTGGGGACGCATCGGTTAGAAGTAATGGAGGAGGAGAAGGACCTCGGAGTCCTGGTTGATTGCAGGATGACTATGAATCGGCAATGTGACGTGGCCGTGAAAAAAGCTAATGCGGTCTTGGGATGCATTAGGCGAGGTATTTCTAGTAGAGATAAGGAGGTGCTGCTTCCGTTATACAAGGCGCTGGTGAGACCTCATTTGGAGTACTGTGTGCAGTTCTGGTCTCCCATGTTTAAAAAGGATGAACTCAAACTGGAATGGGTGCAGAGAAGGGCCACTAGGATGATCCAAGGAATGGAAAACCTGTTGTATGAAAGGAGACTCGAGGAGCTTGGTTTGTTTACCCTAACCAAAAGAAGGCTGAGAGGGGATATGATTGCTCTCTTTAAATATATCAGAGGGATAAATACCAGGGAGGGAGAGGAATTATTTCAGCTCAGTACTAATGTGGACACGAGAACGAATGGATATAAACTGGCCGTCGGGAAGTTTAGGCTTGAAATTAGACGACGGTTTCTAACCGTCAGAGGGGTGAAGTTCTGGAACAGCCTTCCGAGGGAAACGGTGGGGGCGAAAGATCTCTCTGGCTTTAAGATTAAGCTTGATAAGTTTATGGAGGGGATGGTTTGATGGGATAACGTGATTTTAGTCAATAGGTCTATAACGTGCCATCGCAGGTAATTAGTATCAATGGTCGATGCGGGTCTGGCTGGAGATTCTTGCCCACATGCTCGGGGTTCTGCTGATCGCCATATTTGGGGTCGGGAAGGAATTTTCCTCCAGGGTAGATTGGCAAAGGCCCTGGAGGTTTTTCGCCTTCCTCCGCAGCATGGGGCAGGGGTCGCTGGCTGGAGGATTCTCTGCGACTTGAAGTCTTCAAATCATGATTTGGGGACTTCAACAGCTGAGTTAAGGGAGAGAATTATTCCAGGAGTGG